GTAACAATATACAAATACTGCAGTAACACACACAAACATTACAGCACCATATACAAACATGACATGACAGAATTGTACAAATCCTGATATTACAACTTCAATGCAGACACATGATTGCTACTCTACCTGTCGCTGAGGTAGTAGTTGTCCAGGTTGAAGACATTCTTCTAAGCAGGTTGGGTGGCAAGCTACGGCGCAGCCTCTGAAATAATAAAAAAAACAAATATTTGTTTGTCTAAAATTGTCGTGTAAATTATTATGTAACAAAGATGAATGAATGAGAAACAAGCTCCCTAAAATATTAATGGACTCTCCCAAATTGCATTATGTCATGTAAGGTTATAACATTTATGTACTTACCTTAGGTAAGGCGGAGGGTCTTTCGCCAATGAAAGGTGAATCTTCCACATCAGAGCCATAGGAGCTCTCACTGAGTGCAACGAGAGGACTGATTTTAGGTCGCTGAAATGTGTTATAATTGGAAGGTGGACTAATAAGATTACTTATAGCTTTTAGACCACTAACAACATTATGTGGTAGAGTTTGATCCACTAGCATATCTGTAATCACGCCATGTGCTTCCTGCATCGCTGCCATGTCTATTGAGTTGACTGACTGTAAATAAACATAGAACACTGATTAAAAACAATATAACAATCCCAGTTGGTTTAAGTATCATGATGCAATGCTGTCTTTACCTCACACCTGGTTAAAGGAACAAATGGAACAAAATAATTCAGAAAGACTTGTGTGGTTTATGGACTAATGTTCCATGACTAGGTACGATTCGCCATTAATGTAAAAGAATTTGTTGTGATATTGGCTGAAAAATAGCCACAATGAGTTATTTGAAAAAAAATTACCAAATATGTACAACAACATTATGTTCATAATGTACCAACTGAGGTACAGTTTGCCTACCAAAGCCATAAGGGACTAAAACAATAGGGTTCCTATAAAATGATGGAATTCTGTACAAACAGATCGCTTCCACCTAAAATCTGTATTTGTATGCAAGCCACTTAATGTTGAACGCTATTAAAAAATTTAAATTAATACAATTTCCTTTATTTTTACATATGTGACATTTCACAAGGATGAAGAAAATTCCAAAGAAATGTTGAGTCACCATATTCAGTTCAGAAATCATTGATACGCAAAGTGACAATTTGGGAAATTTCACCATCATTTTGTTAGGCAAGAACATGAAGAGGTTTATCACCTGATTGTAAAGCTGGATGATATGAATCAAATGTTATTATTATTCATGAACAAAGGACTGAGTCATGGCATCATATCAAACAGCTCACTGAATACAGGAAATAATTTTACAGATCTCTGCTTAAAAATCATAATCATCTTAAAAATTGATGTTTTACAATTTGTTTGTCTCTGCGTAATTTTCAAACACACACGATGGTGTTTAATATGAATATTTAATGTTTATACATGTGTATGCCATATCAGCTAGTTATTTTACACTAAACACCACAACTGTGAATAATATATGCACAATGGTCATATGATAAATCTCTCAACAATTCTTTTGATGACATATGTCATAGAATGTACATGTCTGAAAGTATTTCAATATTTTTAGTGGATTGTTTAATGAGAAATGTTTCATTGCTGTTTGTGGAAACTGCTGCTAAACTGATATTTTCTGCATATTATTTGAAAGGTTTTCTAAAAAAAAAGATTAAATGGTTAGTTAAACAATTAATTAAAGAGAGCACAAATTGTTATCAAGTGCATGAGTGTTGGGCAAACTTCACTCACAACCAGATGTGCCTTGACAAGCAGGTGCTTCATGCCTCTATTAACACAATTGTGGGTCAAACAGCTATTAACAAAAATATGTTATACCTAACTGATGCAACAGACAATCCTAGATATACAGCATATCTAATGCTCCAGTCAATGTCAACGCCGACCCCGACCCCTCCCACCTTGGGCGATAGGGGACAATGTGGGGTATT